TCAACTGCCTGTAACCCGTCATTGCTTCACCAAAGGTGCTGCAAACTTGAGAGCTCTATTCCATGTTCTTTACCCGGCTTGAGGACTCTTCTTTCAAATCCTTTGCACAGCTGCTCACTCTTGGGTAGTGGTCAGCTGGCAGCACAGAGATAGGGATTGCAAGTAGTAGACTGCATTTCAGCTGAATCGATGAGCCCTTTCATTGTGAGGCACACGGATGGCAGTATCTTCTCGGCTCAGCGGCTACAATGCTCCTCCCCTTCAGCAATGGAGAATGTATTGAATTGTCCCACTTCTCCTATTCATCCAGAACCAAGCCAAAAAAAAACAGGAAAAGAAACATAGAAGATGACCGAGTCTACGCGCTCAGACACGGCCAATATCTATTATGAGCATTATTGATCACATTCTCCGCTAGTTCTAATTGACATTTTGCTGCTCAAAGAATCGAAGAAGGACCTCTACATGAACACCGAGGTCAAGATGCTTGCCTTGAAAGACCTGGCGGCCAAGCAGTTTGCCCCGCAAACCTCAATCAACTACCCCAGGATTTGGATCTTGCGCATGCAAGGGGTCGCTTGAGATGATCAGTGGTATTCTTTACAAGGTGTGTGCTGATTGGTCAAGATGATTATAGAGTGCTTGCTGTTGTTTCGAGGGGGCTAGTGTTGTTGCATGTTCAACTTTGATTTCGTTGCGCGACATCTGAATCTGGTGGGAAACGTCAGGTGATGCTGTGGGCCGCAGCGACAGCTATTTGTCCGTAGTGTAAGGAGAAGCTTATGGGTGTGCAATAGGGGGTTTCAAAATAGAAATCCCAGGTTCCAGGAGCTCGCGCAGGTCCAGAAATCCAGGAAAAAATCCCGACCTGGAATGTCTCCTGCGGGCCTGCGCTCCTTCTACCTCTGGCCTTGCAGGAGGTGACCCACAGGTCCAGGAAAACAGGACAAAGGTAGATAAATTGGTAAAACCTCCCATTTTTTCCTTGACCACCCATCCCCCGAGTCCATCCTATCGCTATGTTTGGTGCACCGTGATTACCCGTGACCCCCACCCAACAGCTCAATTTTTCTATTGCCTCGATTTAAACTTCTTACATCCATGATACATCCACCAGCCATGCCAAAAAAACAACCCAATCCCCTGACAGACACCTTAAGTGTGACTGTCAGCCATGACAACTAGTTCTAGCTACTCCATATCCTTTGATTGCAAGTTAAAAATAAGACAAAAGGGAGAGAAATTGATGGTTGGGAACCTTGAACTTTGTAATCATCTCAGTTGCTGCACCAAGCTCATAGCGTTGCTAAAACTCAACTGAATTGCGTTTTGGTACGATTCACTTCAAACGACTGTACATACCCAAGCGGGTGTTGGTAAAAATCCACATAATGGCATTCATTTGATCAACAACTACAAATCAGTTGAACAAGTGGTGACTACAATCAAGTACTGAGGTAGGTAGCCAAGGATTGTCAATGTACTGCTGTACTGATGGTTAATGCAAGAGCAATTATATCATGTATTCCTTGCTACTGATGAGGTTGGCTGTCTGGATTGACTCACTGTTGAAGGGAACTGTCAGTGATGGTGAGGCCATGCCAAGACCACTTCAACTAAGGCTTTCACAGCCATCTGGTTAAACAGGGGCCTCCCAATGGTGGATCCAATGCTGTCCCAACTCCGGGATGATCTTGGCACTTGGTAACCTCCTAGATTCTCCTGCTCACCATCAGTAATAGTGGTTGTCAGTTGCAAGCCAACTGAGGAGGACAGCCATACTAGAGTGGATGTGATCAATCCCATCGGTGTCTCAGGGTGTTCTACAGCTTTGACAAGCCATGATTTGAAGGATAAAAAGTGCTCAATCAGTGTTGGTCG